CATGGGGGTAGCCGTGTCCCTGCGCCCGCCACCCTCTCTGTAAGTTGCTGGTGGGTTTTTTTGGTCTTTTTGGAATACTCAGTTGGAGACACGTAGAGCCCATTTCAGAAAACAAGATGAGCCGCGTAATTATTCCGGACACAGAGTCTTCGGTGCTTTAGTGACGCCGTGAAAAACCGAGCAAGGGCGTTTGCGTCCATGATTAGCGGGCGATTTTTTGTCACCGGTCGCCGGTTGTCCCATCTGGACCGGGGCCCGCAGGTGCCAGCCTCACCCGTCCTCACGAGAGCCAGGGCCGTCTCTGGGCGTTTAGGTGGAAAGTGACGACTGGTTTGCAACATGCCATCCATGTCCTTAACTCACACTCGCGCCCAGCTGCGTCCTCTAGTGATAAAGTAGCACGTTTTGCCGTGGGACATTAGGGAACTAAATGAAATGACAACAAAGCGAAGCCACCCAACCCCGTGGCCGAGCGTCGAGCCGCTGGGGCCGGGGAGGGTCGCCGCCAGCTGCAGGTTCTGTTTCCTGCCGTGGTTCGCGTCCCTGGGGCATGTCCTGCCACGTGTCAGGGAAACTGCCAGGCGCGTGGCCCTGCAGGAAGGAGAGGTGCCTGGCGGGGCTGGGCCCGAACCCCACTTCCCTCCATGGAACCCCCTCTCTGCAATGCACTGGGGTCCCCAGGAGTCACCAGTCCTTCGGAGTCTGGGGGAGACAGGGCCTTTAAGAGAGCCCTTGCCCAGAGCCAGGCGGCGGCCTCTTGTGGGCTCCACGCCTCTTTCTTCTTTGAAATGTTCATTGATTTCAGAGAGGAACGGAGAGGGAGAGGGAGAGAGAAACATCCATGAGGAGAGAGAATCGTGGATCGGCGCCTCCCGCACGCCCCCTACTGGAGATCCAGCCCGCAACCTGGGCATGTGCCCTGACCGGGAATCGAACCAGGACCCTTCAGTCCACAGGCCGACGCTCTATCCACTGAGCCAGGGCTCTTGTTTCTGTCTCAGTTACAGCTGATGTCCAGGATTGTTCTGTGCTGGTTTCAGTGTAGCGCAGTGGTTAGCCCATCGTACGCTTCACGGACGCTTCCAGCCCCACCCGCCACCGTGCAGTTAGGACAATATTGCTGACTACCTTCCCTGTGCTGTGCTTGGCACCGGCCTGTCCTGTAACTGCCCATCTTTACTGCCAATCCCTGTACCCTCCTCCTGGCCCCCCGGCTCCCCAGCCCCCCAGCCACCTAGCCCCCGGCCCCCGGGCCCCCAACCACCTGGCCCCTGGCCCCTGACACTCAAACCCCTCCCCTCTGGCAGCCACCAGGCTGTGCTCTGTGTCTGTCTGTGTCTGTTTTGTGTGTGGGTGTCCTCTGTCCGTCAGGCTCCACACGGGAGTGAATCAGGTGGCACTTGCCCTCCCTGTCTGACTCACTGAGCACGATGCCCTCCAGCCCGCCCGCCGAGGGCCCACTGAGCACTGAGGGTGGGCGCAGGCCCGCATGGCGCTGTGCTGGCTCAGCCCCGAGGGTGCTGGGGCCGAAGACGCAGGGGAGCTCCACGGGCCACACAGCCGTGGCCACGCGGGCTTGGTGGGAAGGAGGATGGAAATAGGCTCCTCGGAGCGGCCGTTGTGCGGCCTCG